CGTGTTGTTGACCGGACGCTGGACCTCGGCGTCCGTGCGCATGCAGACAACCACGTGTCCTGATTCCAACGGTCACTTGACTTGACCGGACGCAGGCAATGACGGACGTTGAACTCCCAGCGTCCGGTCATTTCAATAGTACCGACCTCGGCCGGACGCGTCCGGTCACATTGATCGGACGCACGCCAGCGTCCGGTCACACTCCGACTTCTCGTCGTCGCCGACGTCGTCACGACCGGACGCAGCGCTCGCCGGCGTCCGGTGCATTCAAATCCAGCGTCCGGTCAGGTTGACCGACGCCAAAGATCTCGCGACTAACTTGCTTCTAACTTCATCACCCTTGCTCCAATGTAAGTAACCACAAGAACTTGCATCCGGCGCAATAGAAAATAGGCATTCTATTTTCCCCGAAAGCGTCGAATCCCGCCTCGAAGCTTCGGCGGGAGGGAGAGGGACCCAAACCCATCTCACCCTGCAAACACCACCTCCTTTGTAAATGTGCCAACACCACCAAGTGTACACCACCATGTGTATGTGTGTTAGCATTTTCACAATCATTTCCCAAAGGATGTTAGCCACTCAACTTGCCATGCCACTCGATCCTAGCGACAATGCAAAGTTAGATCACTCGAGTGGCACTAGATGACCGATATGCAAACAAGTTTGCCCCTCTTGATAGTACGACCATCTATCCTAAACCCGGTCATAAACTTCTCTACACACCTATGACCGGTGAAATGAAATGCCCTAGGTTATACCTTTGCCTTGCGCATTCCATTCCATCTCCTTCAATGTCGATGCAACACATGCACCAACACGATCAACAATGATATGATCCACTTCATATCATCACATGATCATATTGGTTCATCGATCTTGACTCTACTTGCTCTTCACCGCTATATCGTCCATCGGCGCCAAGTCTTGCTCAAGTTTCACCGCCACGCGGTCCATCACTCAAAAGCCTTTGACTTGCCCTTCACGCTTGCAACCGGTCTATCAAGCCAAGTCTTGTCTTGATCTTCTCCACCTTGATCACATGACTCAATGTCATGTCTCATGTGCAATAAGCTCCTTCATCATCACATGTGTGTGAGCTTTGCAACATCTCCAAGCCATTTTCACCTCCATGGCATATGTTGCTCATACACATGTACCTGTGGACTAATCACCTGTGTATCTCACATAAACACAATTAGTCCACCTAGGTTGTCACTCAATTACCAAAACCAACAAGGACCTTTCACCCTCTCTCCCGTTACTCCCTCTCCTTCATCCCCAGCGGCATCAGCCGACACAGGCTTGCCACCACGCCGCCCCCCTCTCGAGGCTCACACGGTCGCCTACGCATGCCAAGACGCCAAGACCATTGCCATCCCGGAGGTCGAGCGGACAAATCACGGAAAGAGTTCGCCGTGAGACGTTTTCAGAGCAAGAAAAATAGCCAACTGTTCCGATGGCGTGAGAACCACGATGAACAAGAGGGCCGATTCAACTGTGGTGGCGACTCAGCTGATTTGTGAATACCGTGTCAAGTGAAAGAAGTAATTTAATACTCCAAAGATTTGTACTAATTCACGGATGCAAGAACCAAGCTTTTGACTAAACAAAATCAAATCACTCAAAGACAGGCAAGGAAATCACACGCACAAAGAACGGAGGGGGCTGCTCTCCAACTTTGAACGAAGCATAAGCACAGGAACCAAGAAGGCCACACACGGCCAGGGAGCCGAGAGCGAGCATGGCTCGGTGCAAGCACGCACGCAATCGCGCTCGATCTTGAGCTCGGCTCGGCTCCGCCGCCAGTGGTCAAGGGGTGGGTGATCGACACCTTCGGGTGGCGGCCTCTGCCGTCACCCCGCCGAACGGGGCTGGCGCGCGGGACGTCCTCCTCCTCCTCCTCGTTCCCTCCCGGCGAGAACGCCGCGAGTCGAGCCAGCGTCGAATGCCGCTATTCGCCTCGCTCGCGCCTCGCCCGACGCCCAAATCGAGGAAGCTCTGGCGCCGACACGGACGGCTGCGGAGAAGGGCGACCGTGCGTCGCTTTAAGCTGCTACCGGGATGGAGGAAAGGGAGTAACGGGAGAGAGAGCCGATCCGTTTTGACGTTCGATCCGTTTTGATGAACGTAACAACAGGCAGGGGTAGGAATGGAAGGAGGCGTCTTCTTTTTTTCCATGAATTAAAACTACCCAAAATGTATTTCAACGGGTGACACCAATTTCATAATGGCAAACTAGCGAAACCACTTTAAGAGATGGTAAAACTACGAAACTCGTTTATGATGATGGGTGAAATGCCAAAGTCTCGTACCAGAAGCGTGCGCGTTCAGTCCTCTTTTTCGGCATGCTGCTGCCGTCCGGCCGCCCAGCCTGTAGCATGTCCCCAAGACGAGTCGATCCCTCCTCGGCCCCTCAGCCCCTCGGATTTCTGCGGCTTGTGCACTCAGGGCTGTTTGGTTACCCTAATAAAATTTAGCTACTAAACTTTAGTTATTTTAGTTACTAAACTACTAAACAAATTGACTAAAAAAGTACTAAAGTAGTTTAGTCATATTAGTCACTTAAGAGTAGCTAAAAATGGGCTAAAGTGCCCAGTGGATAAGGGCTGCCCCTTTTTTTTTGGCCCCCCACCCTGATTTGGGTATTCATTATGGATAGTTTGGTCTTTGTTGAACTGCTTTAATGGCCTTTAGTCACTTTTAGTTATTAGAACCAAACAAGGGTGACTAAAGTTTATTCATTAGTTTTATTAGCTAAATTTTAGTCATGATAAACCAGAGCCTTAGTAATGACTAGCTCTAGCTCCCTCAGTTCTGGTATTTTTCTAATCCATTTGTAGCTCAGTAGTGTAGACTATCGCCCTGTTTGTTTGGCTTATAAGTCGTATTTTTTCAGCCAACGAATATTATTTTTCTCTCACAACAAATCAGCCAACAGTACTTTCAGCCATGGCTTATTAGCTAAGCGAACAGGGCATATAGCCTTGTTCTCGTAGACTACCAATTCTTCTATTCAATTGGGTTGGAAATTAAAAATAGAACCATGGATAGTTTTAGTTCAAGCCTCATATCTTTTAGAAAATTTACCTTCATTTGTTATTTTTATGTGCGGCGTAAATGGATAGTTCTCGTCAATGGGTAGTTTTTACCGTCAGATGAAGGCCCTGGTCATAAGTAATTCCCGGATCCGCCACTGCCCAGACATGCCCTAGGAGAGCATGTTGAAGCTTGATATTTTTTTGTTTGTTTTCTAAAATTTATGATAGAGAGCCTTTTGAAAATGCTTAGCAACCCAGAGAAGGCATGACTTGCTGACGGGCAGTAATACTCGCCAATGGGCAGCTTGTCGTCGAAGATGTCTCTCTAAAATGTTTTTTATTGCTTTATTGAACCTACCGCATTTTAGGCAGGACCGCTTCCTAGCTGGATCAGGTGTTTACGCTAAGATGTCATCCCTTCAGCGCACTCAGCCGAACCCTGACCCATCCGGTCATTCCATATGTTACCATCTGTAGCACGATATTTGTACAAGTTATGTTCAAAACTTTCACATGATCCTTTTTTTTTTTTGCGAATAGACAGTCACATGATCCTTAATCGGTCCAGTAAGTTATGACATTCAAGATCTCCCCATCTTGCTATGACCCCAACCTCTGGCCGGTCCTTGAGTCATGTTTATCATGTGTGTCAAAAATTTTGACCATTGCTCAAGTTAAATGTTGATTAGTTGAAACTTTTTCATTTGAGACTATTTTGGAGCGGAAGTATTCAATACAAGATTATTATACTTAGTCACAAGTAACTATGTCGTGTGGTGGTAGGGATGTTAGCACGAGATATGAGGTCATGAGTTTCATTCTCTAGGGGTGTATTTGTGTGAAAATGTCAGATTAATACTTGTGACACACCCTGTGCATGCAAAAAAAAAAAACCAGTATGGTTTAATATTTTTGCAATTTTAAAAAATATTTCAAGTCAGCCACCATTGCCCTATTTTTACAATTAGAGGCATGGTAGGGGTTCTAAAAAACTGCCCCTAAGTTGATATTGATCGTCTCTAAGAATCGTATCTCATCTCAAGGAGATCTAGTTGAAAGTATTTTAACAACCTTCAAATAGCCACAAGATTAATATGTTTTTTTTGGTGACCAAGACATAATTTTGGTCTATATAGTAGTCAAATAACTTAAACTTTGTGAATCGAGTGTCGCTTAGATATTTGGGTTCCTCATGTTGAAGTTCTCGAGTTGACATGGGTTCTCGTATTTTTTTTTGCGATTTATTATAGGATTTAATGACATTGTTCTTTTAGTGGTAGTAGCATGTCCATTGACAACGAGACACAATGAGACACCTATAATAACTTCATCTATCTCGAGGTCTGTCGGTTTAGTCTTTTGAAGGTGCTCACAGGAGTAAGCGGGTCTGCTAGCTCAGTCTTTCAAAGGTGCTCATAGAGGTATAAGGGGTGTTTTCATAAGGTTGAGTCTATGTGCATCGGTGCATGTATAAGTATCTGCGTCCATAATGTGTAATTTGTAACAAAAATCACTTAAACCTTGATGATGTATTCTCAAAACAGCACTTGAATAAGTACCTTCAATATCCAATTTTGATATGATCTATCTTGAGGGCCATTCATTTGAACAACTTTTTTGCTAACATATCAGAGTATGGATGCTGGATGCAAAAGCATGATATGAACGTACTTTGCATAGGTGGCCAGAGGGCGATGAGTGCTCCGCCAAAGTGGCAGCAAGACGTTGAAGGGCCATGCCACGTGGGTAGGTTGGCCGGAGATATCTCGATCCTACGTGGCCCAATGGAGCGCGGGCACACGGATATTGCAGCCAATGGCGGGCGGGTTTTTGATATCCCCATCCCGCTCCATCTCCGGCCGCTCGTGCTCTTAATAGCAGCCTCAGATTCTGCTCGGCTCTCAAAGCCACTTGTTCTTCTCCCTCTCTGCCTCACCAGGATCAGCGGAAGCAGCAGTGGCGATGGCGTCGTCGAGCGGACTGAGGAGCTGCAGCGCCGTGGGCGTGCCCAGCCTGCTAGCGCCGTCGTCCCGGTCCAGCCGCCTGCCGTTCTGCGCCAACGCCACCACCTCCGGCCGCGTCACCATGTCCGCCGAGTGGATGCCCGGCCAGCCCCGCCCTCCCCACCTCGACGGCTCCTCGCCCGGGTAAGCTAGCGGCTGAATCTCTGAGACTCTGACAACACGGCGGCGCGCGGCGTGCTCTGATCTCTCTCTGACGAGTGATACACATACAGGGACTTTGGCTTCGACCCTCTCGGCCTCGCCACCGTGCCGGAGAACTTCGAGCGGTTCAAGGAGTCGGAGGTGTACCACTGCCGGTGGGCCATGCTGGCCGTCCCGGGGATCCTGGTGCCGGAGGCCCTGGGCCTGGGCAACTGGGTGAAGGCGCAGGAGTGGGCGGCCGTCCCGGGCGGGCAGGCGACGTACCTGGGCAACCCGGTGCCGTGGGGCTCGCTGCCGACCATCCTGGTGATCGAGTTCGTGGCCATCGCGTTCGCGGAGCACCAGCGCACCATGGAGAAGGACCCCGAGAAGAAGAAATACCCCGGCGGCGCCTTCGACCCGCTCGGCTTCTCCAAGGACCCCGTCAAGTTCGAGGAGTACAAGCTCAAGGAGATCAAGAACGGCCGCCTCGCCATGCTGGCGTTCGTCGGCTTTGCGTGCAGCAGTCGGCGTACCCGGGCACCGGCCCGCTGGAGAACCTCGCCACCCACCTCGCCGACCCATGGCACAACAACATCGGCGACATCATCATCCCCAGATCAATCTCCCCTTGAGCTGAGATGTTTTGTGTGTGATTGCCTGATTGGTTCATTACTAGGCACTGCCTCTGCCTGCCTGCAGGAGCTGTACAACGGCGGCGACTTCCCGCGCCGGAAAACCCTTGTAATGTAAAGCTTATATTATTAAGTAGCGGCTACTCTTGTAGTCTTGTATCAAATCTAAACTGGTTTAGCTGAGTCCCATGGTTATTTCTGAGCTTAACCAGGGGAAGTTTATATAGCTCGAAACGGAGAAAATTCATACAGGACCTTTGATAACTACAAAGTATTTGTGTTTCTGCTTTCCGCAAACCTTCTGCATAGAAAGAGAAATTTTGCAGCCGAAGAACAAATATCTGTGTTTAGCAGGTTCAACAGAATGTGCGCACTACCTAAGCTTGCCGAATGTTTTTATGTTTACCGAGTGCATTTTCTCGGGCACTCCGCAAACAGCTCTTTGTATAGTATTTTTCGAAAAACACTCAGTAAAATAAAAACACTCGGCATACAAGTGATTTACCAAGTGTTAAACATTCGGCATACAAGTTATTTGCCGAGTGCCCTGGATCTGACACTTGCCGAGTGTCAGATCCAAAGCACTCGGCAAAGCCCCCGCCCGCCGCACACTTAACACGCACGCACACCCCCTCCTTCCTTGCCCCCGCTCCCCTCTCCCTGCCTGTAACATCCCGGTGTTACGATCTTGTTTAGCACCGCGATTTAGGTCTAAGAAAAACTATCGAGACGATTTTTTGGATTTTAAAATTTAAAAATTTAGCTTTTCACGTCAACAATAAAAATCGGAAAGTATATTTTAAAGCGTTGTTTGTGGCAAATTGTTTTGCGTAAAGTAATCACATAACGCTTTAATGTTTTGTTTCATGGCTTGGTACGAGTATGAGCTACCATGTCCGATGTTTTTAGGTGAGCGACAGTCGCACCGAGCATTTAGACTGCAGCACGTCCTTGTTCTTTTCCCGTTCTTTCTCGCGCGCCTGCTTTTCAATGACTCCCGTTATCTCTTTGCCTGTCTTGCGCGGTCTCATCCTTGCCTGTCTCAGTTGTCCGCTCTTGTCCTTCTCTCTTGCGTCGCGTCCAAAATTTTTAGCCGAGCGCCAGACGAGCAGGTGCCCTGCTGCATCATTGAGTGTCCTGGCAGCAGCAGTACCCGCACTGGACGCAAGTGCACTCAGCAAGCAGCAAGTACATGCACCCATGCTGCCCTGCCGACCCTGCACTGCTCTCGCTAGGCACGCCAATACTGGCCACGTGGTGCCGTCCTTCCCTGTCCCCCACGTCGCATCTATGAAATGGTGCCCTTTCGCCCGCACACAAGAGCACGAGTCCAGTTCTTGCTTTTCCCCCTTTTTCCGCTGCTGCTCCTCGCGTTGCTTGCGCGCGTCTTGCACTCCAATGCGGCCGTGTCTCTGCTGCCCGCGCTGGTCCATTCCCGCTGACAGTGCGCACCGCGAGCGCGCGCGCAAGTCCTCGCTGCCGTGCCGCATCCGGCCGCCCGCGCCCTTGTCTTGCTCTTCCTCCCATGCCCGCACGTCGGTGCCCCGTCGCCGCCTTTGAGGCACCGCGCAGCGCGCGCGCCCCTCGGCCCCAGCCGCGCTGGACCGCTCCACCTCGCAGCCGCAGCGCCTCCGTCGTCGGCGTTGCCCCTGCCTTCGCGTACGCGCGCTCTGCGCACCGGCGCAGCCGCGCCTCCCTCCCGCCGGTGCCGGCTCTCCCCAGCACAAGCTCACGTGAGCACCACGGCTCGCTCTGGACAGCTGGTACTTCCGAGCGCCCAAGCCCGCGCGCGTCTTCATCCTGCTCCCCGTGCCACAGCCCTTCCCCGCTCCTCGCCGACGCTGAGCGCCCGGCCAGACGCGACTCGGCCGCTGCCCTCCCGACGCCCATGCCCTGCATCTCGGTGTTAGCACCGCCATGGCTACGCCCGTCGCCGTCGGCCCCATTACGAGCGCTGCTCCTCCTCGCCGAGTCTCCGTGGCCGCGCTCTCGTCGCTCGACCACCGCAGCGCCTCGCATACATCTGCACCGTGCTCGTGGCCACCCTGGCTGTCTGGTCAGGCGACTCGCCTGCCCATCGACGGTCCTCCCCGCGCGCTCGCGAGCGAGCACCGCCCTCCATTCCCGCGCTGGACCGCCGCCCTATCCACGCCTCCCGTGCGGCCGCACCGTGGCCCGCTGCTCCGGGCGCCCTTCAGTCAGACCGCAGCAGCCGCGCAGCCCTTCCGCGTCGCCCCGCACCATCACCTCGCCACGCCATCCCAGAGCCAGCAGCGCCGCCGGTGCCGATGTTGATGTCGTCCCGTGTCTCCTCTGCTCCCCACTATGAAGAAGATGCTGTGAAGGGTATAAGTCCAAGCACAAACTTTATACAGGGTCCCTATTGCAAGATACTAGACTCACATAAATAGTACGTTAGTACCGCGGATTAATTTAAGGAAAACATGGGGGCCTTCTTGCAAATTCACCACCACGCCACTGCGCATCTGGGCCACGCACCTGGGCCGCGCATCTAGCTGGGCCGGCCTGTGCCCCGCGCCTGGGCCGCGTGTGCGTGCTGTGCGCTTGGGCCGCGCCCTCTCCACGCGTGGGCCGTCCGCTTTGGTTGCTGGGCCGCCGGTCATGCGCCCCTCCTGGGCCACTGGCCGCGCGCCGCCTTGGGCCTCTGGCCGGCCTGTGTTCATGCTGCTGGATCGTCGCGTCTGCGTGGGCCGCCGGCTTCCACTGGACCGCGAGTGCGCGCTGGCCCGTTTCGATTTCTAGAGCGATTTATAATTTAGCTTATAAAGTGAACTTGTAAAAATCAATATAAAATTGGGTAGGTGTCCAAAAATAGTGAAATCAAGTTTGTTAGTCTCCTAAAATTATGATCTACCTGTTAGTAGATTTTGTTCTCATAGTTTGATGATATTTTTGGAAGCTATATGATTAATTAGAGATAATTAATATTATGAAAAGGTAAACTTGTAGGAATCATTATGGTAAATTAGTAATAGTGTTGAATCTGAAAGTTGTACAGTAGGCTCCTAGCAACATTAGGTACTCACTATAATTTTTGTAGCCCCAGAATAATTAGTTTGCTAAATAAATAATGATGCCCTATTCCGAATAAAGATTAAATCGATAGAATAAAATAAAGAAATACCTTGGGTTTTGCATAACTAAAATAGTTGTTGGGAAATAACGTCTTATTCGATAACATGGATACGTAGACTAGCGTGTTAGAACTATCTCGTTAGCTTGTGAGACCTAATCGGATTTCTACGCATTTCGACTGTTGTATCAATGCATATTATATAGGTACGATGATGGATCAACGAATCAATTAAAGGATGATTGGGAATCCGAAGATGGTGTAATGGTATTCTCTTCAGGAGATGATGCAATGGGCTTTCTATTCAGATGACGGTGGATGTTCTGAAGATGCAGATACTAACTTTTTAATATATATCTTACCCAGGCAAACCCCGGTGCATAACCACTACCTTTCTGCAGTTTAAATTATATTTGTGTATTAAGTTTTAAGGAGTTGAATGAAACCCATATATATATATATATATATATATATATATATATATATATATATATATATATATATATATATATATATATATATATCCTATGAGTCTTACTAGTATGACAGGATCGTGTAGATTGCTATGCTACAGGACTCCGATAGAAGTCGAGTGATTGTATGTCACTCGCGAGATATAGGAAATATATTACTGCATTATTATCATTTGGAAAATATAAATGGTGGAAAGAAAAATTATGACCGGGCAGGGATATGGTTTGGGTATTGGTGGGTGTAAGAGGTTGTGTCGCTGTGGACGCGGGGCATGGCTTGGTTACACTGCTTTCCCTGTCCGTGTCGATTAAGGAACGATCGTTGCATAAGGCTCTAGGCAAGTCACAGACTTATTATCCCGGGCACATACTTGGGTATGGGCACTTGGAAGACTTGTTGCTCTCTTGTCGTGGATCCAGCTCTTTCCGGACCGACTGTCAGGGTTTTATTTTGGTGGAGGAGGTCCTTGCACCACACTGAGTCCGGGACTCAGGGGCGGCGGCTTGGAGTCCCAGTTTGGACGGAGACCTGGACACCCGGATAAGAGAGTGATGGGTTGGTCCTGCTTGTGCCTAGGGTACAAGCGGGGCATGTGTTTTCGGGGTACCCAGCTGGGGGCATTGATTCGCGAATCACCGGGCAATCCGGTACGACTTGTCTACGGTTTAGCATCGTAGTAAGAACTGAAAGATGAGAGATGGAAGATGAAAAAAGAAAATCTAATTGCTTACCACCTGCTTGAAAGTAGCACAGGTGCTTACATAGAATGGTTAGTTAATGAACCAATGCGGCTATTAATAAAAATCGAATATAAGGACACACGCTTAGTAATGCTTTCTGCAAATGCAATAAACCCACAAGCCAGATAGCCTTGCATATCCTTAGTCTTTTCTTCCTCCTGTCGGGTAAGTCTTGCTGAGTACAATTGAGTACTCAGGGTTTTATTCCCCTGTTGCAGGTGACAGGTGGATGCTAGAGCTGACTCTTGTGTGTGGATACCTCCTGGTGGACTCAGCGAGGATTCCTTTATGCTACGATCGTAGTTGTTATTTATAACTCTCACCAAATGCTTTTATAAATGAAAGTTTCATAATCTATTGTCGTAGTTTATTTATCAATACTTCATTATGTCATGATTAGATATTCATTTCCGCTGTAATTCTGATCACATGTTTATATTCCGTTGTTCAATTAAATTGTTTATAACTCTGATAATATAATTTCATACCGCTGTTATAATAATAAATATTATACTCTGATGTTGTACTAAAAGTGATGTAAGAAATAGTTAAGAATGTTGTAAGCTTTATTCTCTCATTTGTGATCCTGATGACGAAAATGTGGATTTTTGGGTTCTTTCCTAGGGTGTGCCCGATGGAACCAAGTAATTTAGTGTTCTCCTTTGGGTGCTTAGTGTCTAATGAAAGACAAGCACTCCTGGGAGGCATTAGATTAGGCGGTTCTATCACACTGCCCCTGCTCCCCTCTCCTTGCCCGTCGCTCCCTCTCCCACCGTGCCTCACGCCCTTCCCTCCTCCACTGGCGCGCCACCCCCTCCTTCCCGCCGCCAGACCTCCTCCCTCCCTCCTCCCTTCCCCGACGCCGCCCCCTCCCCTCCCTCCCGACACGCCCCCTCCCCTCCCTCTCCCGTGTTGGCGCCGCCCCGCCTCCCCTTCCCTCTCCACCGCCCCCCCTCCTCCTCTCCAACAGTGGCCCCGCCCTCCCTCACTAGATCCGCTCGGCCCTCGGCTCCCTCCCTCCTCCCCAGATCCGCCCGCCATGCGCCTCTCTCCCGGCGCCACATGCCTCCCTCCTCCTCTCGTGCCCCTCCTCCCTCTCCGGCGTGGCCCCGCCCTCCCCTCCCTCTCTGGATCCGGGCGTCGTCCCACCATCCTCCTCCTCCCCGGATTCGGCCGCCGCCGCTCCCCCTCTCTCTCCCGGTGGTGGCGTGGCGTCGACGGGAGGCGTGGTGGTGGTGGTGGTGGTGGTGGTGGCGTGGCGTTGGCAGGAGGCGTGGTGGTGGTAGTGGCGTGTTGGCGGCGCGGCGTGGCGGCGACGGGCGTGGCGACGGCCGGCGTGTCGTGGCGGCGTGGCATGGCGGTGAGGCGGAGCCGCGAGCGAGCGGCCTTGGAGGAGGCGATGAGCTCGCCGGCGATGGCGACGGCGCTGTTGGTGGAGGGGCTGGCGTGGTGGTGCTGTTTTTTTTATTTTTTTTAGAAAAATATTTGCCGAGTGTTTTTTTGGACATTCGGCAAAGTCTTTGCCGAGTGCCCGACAAAAAACACTCGGCAAAGATTCTTTGTCGTTAAAAATTTTATCAAGTGCCCTTTACCGAGTGTTACACTCGTCAAAGGGTTTGTCGAGTGTTTTCATGCCCTTGGCACATGGCAAAGATCCTATTCCCGGTAGTGGCGGCTACAAGCGTGTGCCAGTCAAAACTATTGACTAAGAGTATCTGAATAACAATAACTTTTTTTTGAAAGTAAACTATGGAGGGGAGAGTTTCCCCGCCTGGATTGTATTAAAAAACAAGCAATCGTTCGTTACAAAGATAAAAGGCTTCAAGAGTTAAGGCCGATCCCACCCAAAATCCAAAATTTTTCAAGATTCCTCGTAACATCAAATCTTGTGGCACATGCATGGAGCATTAAATGTAGGTAAAAAGAATAACTAATTGCACAGTTTGTCCGTAATTAGCGAGACGAATCTTTTAAGCCTAAATAGTCCATAATTAGATAATTTTTGCTAATTACAAACGAAAGTGCTACAGTAGCCAAAAAGCAAAAAAATTCGCATCTAAACGGGGCCTAAGTTGGGGAAGAGAGGTTATACAAGAACGGAGGTACAAGCGCCACTTGCGCAGACTAGGAACCAGAGCAGCCGAAGTAAACCTGCCCTCCCATCACAGACGCGGGATATAACGTTTCGAGCCGACAGGTTTAACTTTAATTCTAAGGATAAGGAAATTTGTATCATGTACTCTTCTAGCATGACAGCAATTCCTTCGTTGGGCGTCTTACTGACCATTGGGCTAAAACCAATTGTGGCATTGTGCAATTCTTCACCAAGCCTAAGAATCACAATTCCTTCCTGCTACCGCAGTAGACCAGTAGTCTGTCTCAACATTGCGTAATTACAACAGTCTTTCACTCTTTCTTTGCAAGAAGGCATTTCTCAGCTGTTAACCAAGCAGTAGTAGGTAGGTATGTGATGCTGATAACCTGGTGAGTTTTTTCGTAAGCAGTGGCCACTCCTCTTTGTTTGTACTGGTGTCTGGCGGTAGTGGCACTAGTTGGGTGTTGTTGCTAATCGTGGTTCCCTCTGTTAATTTATCTGGTAGCAGTATTATTACCATCGGCCCTGTTCAATGGATGGTTTAGTATGCAGTTGGGATGCTATGACAAATTGACAATTGAGGTTTGGCTTTTGAGATACTGCTCCCTCATGGATCTGGATTTTGGAATGACAATGCTGTGTTTTCTATCACCTCAGTTCAATGGCATTCTTAGGGGGTGCTTAGTTGGTGAGGTGAAAATTTTTGGGTGTCACATCGGATGTGTCGGAAGGATGTCGGGAGGGGTTTTTGGATACTAATAAAAAAAACAAATTACAGAACCCATCAGTAAACTGCGAGACGAATCTAATGATACTAATTAATCGGTCATTAGCACATGTGGGGGTACTGTAGCACTTAAGGCTTTTCATGGACTAATTAGGCTTAAAAGATTCGTCTCGCGATTTCCAACCAAACTGTGCAATTAGTTTTTTTCTCGTCTATATTTAATGCTCCATGCATGTGCCGTAAGATTCGATGTGACATTTTAGGTTGAATTTTTTTGGAAACTAAACAGGACCTTACTGTGTTTTTTGCATTGCATTTTGGATAGTTCATTGCTATCTGTGGGAGTACATGACATTTTTGGCATACAAATCATGTGCTTACTAGTTGCCTTCCTGGATTCATTGTGAAATTTATGGAGATGGTCAGTGTTGCGTGCTTGTCATTTCTTTTGCACTTACTCAGGTAGTTCTAAATTCTAATCTTGGATTACATTGCCTAGATTAACTTCCTATCTCTTGCAGCTGTACTACTTTCTGAAAGCTAGCAGTAATTTTGAGCATCATTTTTATTATATGAAATATAAAGAACGTGTAAGAAGTAAGAAGCATGTGTATATTATGGCCACTAGTGATGCTGTGACTGTGAACCCTTTTTTCTCTGATACCTATTGTAAAATTTCTTGACGTTTACAGTTTTCTCAGCATGGATTTGTTAGGGACACGTGTAGGACGATGAGTAGGCGGCGGGATCAGGAGTTTATCCTGAGCATATGTAAAATCATTATTTTACGTTTTAAAGCCATGTTTGACTGCTGCTTGGGGATGGCCAGGCATAGCTAGCTTCCAGGCATCCGATTTTAGACTTCTGGAGGTCAGGATTGCTGGCCTAGGTCAGGCATGCCTGGTAGGCCATGATCCAAACAGCCCCTAAATGCGAGAGCCTAGATGAGCAATTGTAATAAGTAAAAATTAAACCAATAACCGAACTAAAAAAATAGAAAGCGGAGAAAGAATAAACCAATAACCAAACCAAAGTAAATTACAAATTGGAGAAAGAAAGAGACCAACCTATTCTATTCTTGTCAATGCATCTTCCCTCCCCACCCCAACAGCCTTGCCTCTTGCCCGCACTTCCCTCGCACCACCTACACTACCGAGCCATGGCATGCAACCAACACCTTCAAAAGCTCCAAATGCGCCCGCATGCACTGCCTCCTTCTATTGACCCCACGCGTGCCCGCCGCAATGCCATCACGGCAACCGCCTTCGTCGTTGTCGTCTTCTTTGCCTTCGTCACCGGGCACGGCGGTCCAGGCCCCAGTCGCTGCGAGCTGCCTCCCCGCAGACCAGTCCTGCTTCACGATCTCGGCCTCTGTCGGTGCGCCCTACTCCTCGAGTCACGATGCTGCCGCCGCCGTTGTGGGCACACATGCTTGCTGCACCACAACCTCCTACATCACCGTCCTCGGCATCAGCTTCGGTTCCCTCCTCGTCATCCTGCTCATCTTGTGCGCCATCCGGTGGTACCTCGTGCGGCGGTCCGCGAGCCAGGGCGCTGCCGAGGCTACCGCCACGGCGGAACTGGAAAAGAAACAGCCCAAGGGACTGGATGCTGACGCCATCGCCGCACTGCCGGAGTTCGTGTTCCAGAAGGAGGATGCCGACGGGGAGGAGGAACGGGAGGTTGAGTGTGCCGTATGCCTGGGCGCAATGGCGGACGGGGACGCAGCGCGGCGGCTGCCCTCATGCATGCACGTCTTCCACCGGCCCTGCGTCGACGTGTGGCTAAGGGAGCGTTCGACATGCCCGGTCTGCCGCGCCGAGGTGGACGTCAGATCGTCCGTCGAGGGTTGTGACGGGAAGGACCAAGAAGGCGGCCCGTCGCGGGCGTCCACGTCGATGGCGTGGACAGCACAGGAAGGGCCGGTAGACGAAGGGGAGAGGGACCTGGAGGCACAGCTGTAGAGTGTATGGCAGAGGTACATGCTAAGGAGTAGCTTTATTTTGTTATTATTACTCTTTTCTTGGTTAGGAATAGTGAATTAGTAATTTAGATGATTTGGATGGAATTTGTAGCATATAAATGTATATGCAGTGTAATATTCTAACTATATATTGAGTATCACATATACCACTGCTGGTGAGAATCAGGTGGGATTGATCGTGTCGCTTAAGGTACACCTACAAAACTACTGTGAAATGGAATTCCAAAAAAAGGCAATACAAATTACCATCAGGAAAATTAGAAAAATAATTTTCATGTCGGTTTCACGTATAGGAAATAAGGGACAAATAAACAGTAAACGATAGTTAGGGAAATAAAATTTGCCTGATGGAGCACTGACAGAAATATTTTTTTTGTCGGTTCTTTCACAGCCGAAAAATTTCGGACCGTCAGATTTGTTCTATCCAAATACGATAGGAAAATGCATTTGAAATGTTAGGCGAAAAAAGGTTTTCTTGTCGGTAGTGAACGGTAAAAAAATACTACTAACTTTCCTGTTGTTGTTGTCATCGACAAGAATGACATTCACACCGACAAGAAAATCGTCCACATAGGAACCTCATTTATTTAGAAGTTCATATGTAGCTTTCTATATATTTCATACATGATTCCATCTCATTTATTTACAAATTCGTACCGTATCTTTCTATATGTCTTATACATGAACAGTATCTTCCTGGAGCGTTTGGCTGATGGTTTCTGCGGCTGATAAGCTGCTGAAGCTAATTTATCGTGAGAGAAAATACTGTTAAGCCAAATTGATAAGCTCAAGCGAACAGATGAAACGAAAAGATACAGAAATAAAGAAAATTCGCCAAGTTAGGGCCGGTTTAGCTATTGCAGTGGCCCCGGCACCATCACACAGACGGGAACTGGGAATTGGATTCCCAGGGGTTAAGGAATCAGAATCACCAGCCCACTGGCATTCGACGAATTCCATCTGTTAGTTTGGGCCGAACAAGCACACTTGGGTCAAGTCCAATGGGCTTCCATCACGCATCAGTCATCACGCCTCTCACGAATTACCGACGGCCAGAAGCCCAGTTGCCCACCACCGTCCAGTCATGTCCAGCGCCGCCGCCGCCTTCCGCCTGGGCCAGCGCGTGCACGCCGCCGGCGACCCCCGCCGCGTAGGCACGGTGCGCTACCTGGGCCCCGTAGAGGGCCACGCCGGAGACTGGGTCGGCGTCGACTGGGACGATGGCGCTGGCGGCCGGCACGACGGCTCGCTCGGCGGCCGCCGATACTTTGTCGCCTCGGGAGAGTGCTCGGCCTCCTTCGCGCGCCCCACCGCGCTCAGCGGAGGGATCTCACTCCCGGATGCGCTCCGCCTACGCTACCGCGTTCAGGACTTCACCAAGGAGGAGCAGGGTTAGTGCAGTGCGCGCCGACCGACGGCTCCCTGAATTTGCTGCCTTCACATTTCCTTTATCCGGCAATGCTCACTTCCTTTCAGCGAAGGAGTAGAAATATTTGTGCAAACATCATCGCAATTTGTTGAACTTCCTTGGTAATGACCCTGATTACATGCTTTGGCGCACTGTGTTCAGATGAGATGTATGTCTTCTCGACAAGCCAGAAGCGTGTCTCGGTTGAATTTGTTGGCACAGACAAAGTTCAGGAGAAGCTCAACAACTTCAATGAGTTGACCAGTGCATCCGTTTCGTACATGGGAGTGAGCTCAATTGGAGCGCCGAATGAACTAAAGAGTTTGGTTCCAAGTAAATACTGTCTTATGAATTAGGGTAAAGTATAATTTACACCCTCCAACTTTCATCAAAGTATGTATTTCAACCTCGAACTTCAAAGTGTGTGATGACTTTGAGCAGATGGTTCTCTCGAAAAGTTCAACTTTAGGATGAACAGTAACTTTTGATATTTTTCATTGTTCTGACAGCTATTTTTATTTTTCTTGAGCATCTTAACGTCCTCAAATGAAAAACTCAAAACTACAAAGTTGTAGATCTCAAGAATTCTACAATTTACATTTCAAAAATATCTTCATCCGAAACATCTATTGAAGGGTTTCTATTTTTGAAATTTGATATATCATCACGCGATAAACATGAGAAACAGTGAAATTTTATATTATTTTTTTCAGCATCTTACTGTCCTCAAATGAAAAAAAAAAACTATAAAGTTTCAGATCTCATAAATCTATCGCATGATGATAAAAATTATTTCAAAAATAGAAAACCCTTCAATAAGAGTCGGATTTTTTGAAATTTGATTTTCATATAAAATTGTAGACTCGATGAGACTTAGAATCTACAACTTTATAGTTTTGAGTTTTTTTCATTTGAGGACGCAAGATGCTCTCAAAAATAATATAAATTTTTTGAGCCCCAAAATATCAAACGTTACTGTTCATCCAAGAAAAATCAAATTTCACAAAATTGAAAGTTGAACTTTTTCGAGAGTTGGAGGGCCAAAGTTGTCCAGTTTTGAAGTTCGAGGTTGAAATCCATACTTTGATGAAAGTTGGAGGGTGTAAATTATACTTTACCCTATGAATTATCATCATCTTGTCCATTTTACTACTTGTTTTTATTGCAAATAAGCCATAGTGTGTGTAGCAATTTGAGCAGATGGTTCTGCTATAATTTGTTTCTTCAGGGACTTGATTAAAGCCTAGGTTTCCATTTGTTCTGACAGCTGTTTTGCATGTTCCAGATCTCAGACTTCTTGACTTAACTGGAAATCTATTCTCACAGTGGCAAGTAAGAATTCCCACAGAACGATTCTTGTTATTTCAATTGCTCTACTTACAATTGGTGTGGCTTTATATAACATCAAAGCAACAGAGAAACAGTGTTGGTGGTACTACCAAATGTTTGCAGCATATCCCCTGTCCCTCTGTGTTTAACTGTTTGTTTGTTTGCTGTGTGTCTAAACATTTTGGTTCCCTCTCAGGATATATCCTCTCTTTGCCAAGCACTAGCATCCCTGGAAGTTCTTAACTTGACAAACAATACCATGGAGAATGATGTTATAGAAACTCCAATGCTCAAGAATATCCGAATTCTTGTTCTCAACAACTGTAGTGTAACATGGGAACTGGTATGCCCAATTCCTGTCACTTCGAAGCTTTTGTTGTTAGTCATTGTGAGCTCATTTTAACTCCTTTATAACAGGTTGAAAAGATTAAAGTTTCCTTTTCATGTATCAGTGAACTCCACCTGATGTCAAACAGGCTCAATATGATCATGGTTAGTGTTTCTTCTTATACCGCAGCTTCCATGTGCATCCAATGATAATAGATAACACATCTAGGTGTTTTTGGATTATCCTTTCCAATATTTCGAGTTCATGTTTCTCTTGCTTCAGCAAGGTGTACATAAATTACAAATTATGATTTTTTAACTGTATCTTGCTTTCTTATCTAGACCCCAGATGGAAAATTTGTACAAGGTTTAAATACACTGCGGCTCCTAAATTTAGAAGATAATCACATTGATTCATGGGATGAAATTGTGAAACTTTCTTACTTAGGGCCTCTTTGGCACGGCTTATGCCGGCTTTGGCTTCATCTATTTTGCGCAAATCGAGGCACGGTAGCGTGAAGCCGTTTTGTAAGCCGGGGTTAAAATGAACTAGAAGCCGGGAAAACCTAGTTTTTCTGGCTTCACTGGCTTTGGCTTCACCGGTGAAGCCGTTTTGGATGAGCCGTGCCAAAGGGGGCTTTAAGAAGGTAAAAATGAAATAGTAATGTTTCCAGCCTTAATTTGATTGATACTTCTGCATTTGATTTGGGTACTGTGAATATTTATGATCTCTCTCCCTTGTTTCTCCAGTTTGGAACAACTCCATTTGAACAAAAACAGGCTAAAGCATGTGAAGTATCCATCTAATCTTTCACCAGATGGAGCTCTTGATGATGCAGCTTCTGTGCCATTTTAAAATTTGCAAGTTCTTTTGTTAGGTATATGCCTTCTGTGGGGGGTAGATTTTGTTTTCTTTGCCATATAAAGAACCCAATTTTCGAGCATGATTCTGTCTAACTTTAATACTGCACTAGTGCTTCCTGCTTTTCAAATGGAAGTGAAAACTGAAGACACTGTGCTAATATTGATTTTTTAAGTTCACCAGGATCTAATGACATAGATGACTTTTCTTCAGTGGATTCACTTAACCTGTTCCCAAGTTTAAGGGTGAGCTGGTTTCAGTGAACTACACTTGTTTTTTGGAATCTTGTTGCTGATCTATAATACATTAGTATGACCATACTGATCTCTAATTTTTTTTAAGGATGTTAGGCTTTCTGATAATCCTATAGCTGATCCTGCCAAGGGTGGTGCTCCTCGTTTTGTGCTTGTTGCTCGACTTGGGAAAGTTGGAATACTAAATGGCAGTGAGGTTTATGTCAACTCCCTGGATGTTTTTTTAGAATGTACAATATGTTGTACAGATATATGACATCCTTAATCCTTCTTGCCATGTCTAGATAAGCCCACGTGAACAAAGGGAATCTGAAATACGGTCAGTTGATCCTTTGTATCAGTAAATCATTCCAACTAGTATATGACCATATGAGGTTTCTTTGTGGTATGGCCAGTCAAGCCTATTTAGGATATCAGATCAGTATTAATGGAAATTTAAAGATGTTTTTTTCCTCTATCTGAACTGCAGAATTTTCTTCTGGTTCTCTGAGGAAATGCTACTACATTCTTTCGGGCTTTTTTTAATAAAAAAGACACTTCAATTGCCTTTCTAGAAGTCACACTGCAATTCTGATCCAAGCAATGTCTTTGTAGATATGTCTGCCTTGTTATGGGAAAAATAGAACCAAATGACCCAGAAGAGATCAAACGGCTGCACCCTAGGTAGGTTTGTGGCATTTATTTCATTCTTAGGTTTTTAAATTGTATATGCTGACACGACATGATCCAGAGAAGAAACAGTCCATTGATGATATAATTCTTTTTAGGGGTGGCCAGGTGGGCATTCAGCTTTTTTTGGTTTGGCTAATTCGTTTTTTTTTTTTTGAAACTTTGGCTCCTGACATTCAAAAAACAAAAGAATCAAAGAAATTTCGGTTTCTGAAATTTACAAAACCACAATAGTTCAGTGAAACGTCTTGGTTTCCACCGTTTTTTTCTTTCTGGAACAATGGAGGAGAGCTGCGTGTCATTTCATTAAGAAAGGAAAAACTTACAAAAATGGGATGGCTAGAAAAAACCTTCCCAACACACCCACTCACACTACAAATGCGCCCCCGCCACGGCAAAAAGAAAATAAAAACCCCACCATAACCAACTTGCCATACTAGGCCACTAAGGGCTTGGAGCAAGCGACCCCTGAACTCTGTCTTCAGTGGATCAGTGGATCTTAATCTAGCTGATGCCTGCCGATGCCCGAGCCTGACTATTGGGTATGAGAGGGATAGATCAGACTGAGCAGCACACAAGCGAGGTTGGGGTAGAGTAATTCAGAAGATCAGAGGGAGGGAGAAACCTTCTGGAAGGTGGGAATCGATTTTTGTGTTCACTGCATCAGTGAGTGGCATCTCCATGGCACTGCTTGCATTTGTTCTAGAGGGAGAATGAGAGAAGAATGAATTAGGGGGCTACAAGAGACAGGTGCCAATTGCCATCTGTTGCCATCACCCATAGACCACAGAGGGCAACAAATGGGCCTTGGCCTTCATGTCGAGGTGGCATCGGTCTAGCTTTCTTCATCAGTTATGTCGCAAGAAACTACAGCTGAACCGAAAACTGAGGATATATATTTCATTTGCCTTCAGCGTTTGGTGTGTTTTTGCCACCCCTAATCTGTTGCTTAAATGATCAAATTCAGTTGTTGCGCTGAAGACCATCATTAGCCACGACATAACACATACATTCAATATTCAATGGAATCAACATCAATGATGCTGTGTAGCATGCTAATGCAGTGATTATCTCTAACCACTAGAGCTGCAGCTGGCATGAATAGCCTATGGGATATGCAATGCAGAATAATTAAGGGTTTTATGGCTAGCTTTCATCTATCAGTTTTATTCACTTCTGAGATGTACTTGATAGTTGCATCACTAGTGGTAAGATTGTTAATGATACTTATACAGGTAGAAAAAAAACTTGTTGCAGATTTGCTGAACTGAAGTCCTTTCATGGTATTGAAGATGAGAAGCCAACTTCAAGCACATCGGGGCCACAAAAGATGGCTTCTGGTCTTATAAGTACTGGATCTTGAACTTTAATCTTGACAAGATTTACACAGTTGATGGGTCAGCTGAGAACTGGTTTTTGTACGTTGCATGCAGGTGTTACATTGAAATGTGTGGGGCCATCATTGGGTGAAAAGCAACCACTGACAAAGAAACTGCCTGCTACAACAACTGTGAGTACTTGTTGGTACTACATAGCTATCCTTATTTATCGGGTTGTTGTTTGCATTTCTCTTGGGAGGTTCTAGTTGTATATTGCAGTGCAATGGTGGCCGGACATGGTTTCCTGATTTTTATCCGAGCTATCTCTTAGCAACAATTGATATGCTAATTTGACTGCTGGGAACTAGTAAAACTTGTGGTGCCTAGTAATTCAAAGACCCTAACTTGTTTCTTCCATGTATCGAGATGAAATAATGTTTAGACAATTAGACTCCTTACGTGTTACAGGTTGGGAAGTTAAAATCTTTGTGCGAAAGCTTCTTTAAACTGAAGGACATAAAAGTGAGACTGTTTGTCGAAGAAGAGGTATGAATCTAACTGCATCGTGTAAGATTATTGTATCATATGCCTATCGAAAAGATCTGGGGCTGTACCTTTCATGCATAAAGTCGTGTATGATGACTACTGCATTTACTGCAACAGGGATTCCCTCTACCACAACTTCTGGAGGAGGACACGGCCTCTCTGATGGAGCTTGGAATTGGCTCGGGCGCAACCATTGTTGTGGACGAAGAGAGCTAAGCCAGTCGTCTTCAGAGAAGTCGGCAACTCTATGACGCAAACTACAGCTGTTATTAGTCTTTGATTTGAAGAGAAGAGAGCTGATGATGCTCTTCGTTGTCCTGTATATTTCTTTCTGTGGAAACGTGCACTTGATGAATATTGTTGCTGGTTTGGGCTACAAAATGGATCAGCATAGTAACAACATTATGAAGACGGTTATTTGTGTTGGACAAGTTAAGTTTTCTTTTGTTTTCGTCAATGTAGGGAACTGCATCAAAAAATCTAGTTAAAAAAAAACTCACGTAGCCTGGAACGCATTTCTCAATCTTAGAGGGAGCTTTTAGCGGTAGAGTTTATGTAGGGATGAAAGCGGGAGCGGGAAATTCCCGTACCGACCGACACCGAATAATCAGAGTTTATGGGATATTTTGAGCCTCGGATTGGTCTCCGAAAATTCGATCCGGGAAATCGGTTAGAATGATTTACAACTACATCCCGTGTTCGAAAACTCGCGAAATTCCCGCTTTTCTGTAAACAGCATTTTGGCCCAGGAAGCAAAGTTTGGCCAGGAAGCAAGGATCATGATGAATTTGGTACAATTACTTCTAAGGATCTTCAACCACAACAGTATAAAAATTTTGTTATTTTTCTTTTCCATTTTACTCAATCAATAAAAGTTCTTTAGTTTTTTTGTCTAAATATTCAATGGATCAATCCTAATGATAGAATCATGCAAAACTGCATTGATGCTAATGAAGGTTGCATCGAGCTCATGTCTTGGTGATGCTCAATTTGTAAGGTTTCCTTGTTATGCGACGCATGTTCGTTTGAAATATTCCGTTCCCGATATCCCGTAATACCGGATTCGCTTTTTCCGTCCGCCTTCCTATTATTTCCGTCTCATCCAAAAAAAATACAGGAGCAGGAATGGTTAAGACATTTTCCCGACCGTTCCCGACCGTTTTCATTCCTAAGTTTATGGGTTTTGAGCCTCTTGGTCTCCGAAGATGGGAGTTGTGATCTACAACTACAGTCGAGTGTTTTGAGCCTGTAAACAGCATTGGTGCTTACTTCTAAGGATCATGATGAATTTGGTACAATTACTTCTAAGGATCTTCAACCTCAACAGTATAAAAATTGCTTATATTACCACGTAACCATCCTTACTCAATAAAAGGAATTAGCCATTTGTCTCGGCCATCAATGGATCAATCCTAATGATAGAATCACAAATAAAACTGCACTGATGCTAATGAAGGGATGGGTAAGCCTATGTCTTGGTGATGCTCAATTTTCAATAACTGTTCCTTAAAAAACCAAAACCACTGATGAACAATACAAAGTCGCTTATCGTTTACACGCGCCTTGGTTTAAGGATGAAAACGAAACGAAAATATCTCAACCGAACCGCATCGTTTTTATATTTAATCCGATCGAATCAACATTTTCTTGTCCGATTTTTCTGCTGCCTTTCAGATTTGATGTTTCACCAATGTAACCCAAGTAGAAAACGACGATGAAAGCTTTCTACATTTCCTTTTATTTAAATATTCAATCTTTAGCTTTAAACCGAATTCTGACTACTATTTCATAGCCCCAATTATTGTTCTACTCAAAAGCCAAAAACACTTTTCTTGTTGGCTAGCTAATTTGCCTTTATAGAGAAAATATCTCTTATTTTAACTTAAAAAAAAAAGCCCGACTATACACTTGAACTAGATCATGCATTTGTTAGTTGTGAACTTGTTATGATTTGGTCGTACACTTGTTTAATGCTATACTAACCAATGTATTTGTCCACAGCGAGGTACTGTATCTTCTCAATAACTGTTGCTTAATAAAAAAAATCAAAACCACTGATGAACAATACAAAGTCGCTATCGTTTACACGTGTCGCCCGTTGGTTGTCGAGCAAGGATGGCCGGTGTCCAAAGTCCAATCCCATTTTTTTTATCTGTTTTTGTTTAAAAACTTTTCCTGCAGCTGCAGGATTTGGCGATTTGCACTCCACCTGACGTTGCTTTGCCCGCAACTTTTGCTTGCCACGACGGAGGCCCCGCCAGATCCAGGTTCCTGGGCATCCTCCTCCATTCCGGTCCTCTCATCCTTCCATCTCCCGCCAGTCCCTCGCCGGAGCACAAGCACCAAAGGTCCCAAGACTGCGTCTACCTCTGCTCTCCTTTTCTTCTCCTGTTCACCGACAACTGGGCGACCGCCGCTGACGACCTAAGCCAGGTGCCCAGGTCTTCGCCGGCGACGTGCACCCACCACTCCACCAGGTATGCGCACCCCCTCCTCTTCCCTTCCAGCTGTTTGCCTATTTATATTCGGATCTGAGCCGATTTTACAAGTGCATTATGCCTACTAACTAAGATTTTTTTTTGGCAAAAATTATTGGTTTTTTTTACAACGCAAAAATTATTGGTTGTGCATGTGTGCACCCATGTCCTTTACTGCTCCCTTCAGCTCCACCACCAGGGGATGCCCCGGGCTTAATTGAATGGGCTCTCTTCTCACCAGGGCTGGCGCATGGCTCCAGGCCAAGATTGTTGATCCCGTGCTGCAGGTCATCAGAAGGTACCCCGACTCTTTTCCCCATCTGCTGCACTTCTCCCAATCGCTTCATTTCAGTCATAATAATAGTTATTGAGGCGTCCTACAGAGGTGCATTTCAGGCCAAGATTTTGGCATTCAGCTTGGCAGTACCCTGATTCTTTGCATGCATGTCTTCTCCATCTGCTTCTTGAATGAGGTTGTTGACAACCTTCTGTTGGGATGCCGTGCAGGGGAGCAGAACCCAAGCAACTGGCCTTCTCTGCTGCCCTTGGTGTCACGATTGGGATCTTTCCAATATGTGGTAAGGAGCTCCCTAGTATATGCATTTCATTGGCCCCCACTTTCTTATCATGCAATAAGCATGACCCATCTTTTCTCAAAAAGAAAACCCCCTTTTTTGCTCTGGCACACCTATAAGTACGACATAGATTAAGTTGAGTCTAAAAGTTTCTCAAAATTTCAACGGTAGTTATGCTCAATCATGCCTGCAAAGCAATCCTGCAGTCATGCTTAATCACCAATCCTGCATTATATCTATGTCGCTGTGTAATGAGTAACAGTAACCATTATATCAATTGGCCATCCAGCTATATGTTCCTCAAAGCATCATCACTTATCCTTCAAACATTTTGTGATTCCAGGGACCACTGTTATTCTTGGTGCTGTTGCTGTAGCAATATTGGGAAGTCGTTGCAATGCTGTTACTGTTATGGTTCTAAATTTGGCTGCCACTCCAATTGAGCTAAGGTACACATAGTCAATCTCCTGGTGGCCAAAGCCATACCTGATTGCCTACAAAGGTCTCAACTCTCAAGTCTCTGTGAGGTCATTGCATAGATCAAGCTTGAATTCTAGTAGTATGCTAGTGACTGTGTCAAGAAACAATCTTTCATAATTGTATCTGCACTGTCACACTGCTGAAATCAGTTATTACTGTCACGATTATGGGTGTGAGAATTTTGCAGGCTCTATTGAGTCTTAACTGAATATATCATCAAATTCTGCCCTGCGTCAATGATCTGCTTCATTTTGCTTTACAATTCCACTGAGACATGCTTTTGATATGAATAACCAAACTGTACAGCAGTGGTGTAGGCTTCTAATCCATCATGTTTTCAATTCATTTGCAGCTACCTGATGAGTTTCGCAGTTCACCAGATTCTTTCTTTCTGGTTTCAAATTTGTTTGGCTCTGCTAATTGCTTATCCCTTTTTCTGCAGCTTGATCATCCCTTTCTTGCGTTTGGGGGAAACTATCACTGGCAGTGGGCACTTCCCCTTGACGATCGACGCATTGAAGAATGTCCTCACTGGTCATGCCTCAAAGGATGTGCTACTGAGCATCGTCCGTGCGGTTAGTGAACAGCCTTTCTGCAATCAGTTCTGCTTATTCATAGGATAAGAGCACTATTTTACTCTTGCTTTGCTGCGACATTGACATAAGACAACTGCTATTGTCGACAACAGATGCTGGGTTGGCTCATTGCTGCACCATTTGTACTGGCCGTGCTGTACGCTGTTTCGATCCCTTGTTTCAAAGTCCTGGTCAACAGGTTTGGCGGCATTCCTTCGAGCCCCAGGACCCCAATCAAGGCGGTGTAACTAGTGTGGCAGGTTGAATGGTCCTGAAATTGTGTACAACAAATTCTTTGTGATGCCGTCGGGTTGAGATGGGTTCCAGCATCATGTTTGCTCGGCCATCCCAGGCACTGGCGAATAAATGTGACTTGAGAGGCGTGTGTCCTCTATAATTCTGTATGCTGGCTTCACAATCATATAGTGAGATGTGTATTCATGAATTTATTTACAAAGTCTTTAAATAAAGCTAGGAAGCACAAAGGGCACGGACCACTGTGCCGTTCTCCCCGTTGTAGGGTATGGGCTGTGTTCAGCTAAATTTTCTGTAGGTACTGTACATGCTTGTAGGAATTCAGAGGCAGATGTTTGAAATTTGAATCATAGGTTTTCAGTGGCAAGGCAAACTAGTGCTTAAGAAACCTATTAAAATGTACTCTCTCTATTTCAAATTATAAGACGTTTTGATTTGTATATTGATTTTATCATATACCTACAAAAAGTGGGCAACCTTTCACCTGAATCATGTGGAAGGCGATCAACATCATAACCTGAAGGTGGTTGTGGGGGTGTTGGTGGCAACACATCAGTCACAACAGGCACAGGAGTTGGTTCTACAGCAGTAGTCACATCTTCAGCTAGTTCCACAGAAGGATCAACAAATTCTTCAATTATTATCTCTTCTTCCACAACAGGAATTGAAGAAGCACGTTGCTTTGTAGCATGTTTCTGGAACATAGATACAATGTCCCCTTCTCTCTTCATAGTTCACAAATCTTATAAATCACAAGCACATATTGTATAAGTTACTAATCAACTAATTTGAGGACAAATTGAACAACAACTAAATACATAAATTAAAACAGATGGAAGTTAGGGTTAGAGATT